TTCATTATAAAAACAAATGGCTGTGGGTGCAACATAGAGGTTGTTTAATTCGTTGTACAAATGCGATCAGTAAAATGAGATCTATTATTTTGTTGGAATGCGTTCAGTAGAGGTATTGTTGGCACACACGATACCCTGAAATGTTGAATTTAATTGCAGAATTATAATTATAATTATTGTGTTTAACGAACTTTTAAAAACAATTTGACAATCATATAATAACTGGTTATATCCTTTTTCGATACAAATATTGTCCAATAACAAATATTACAATGAATAAAAAAAATAAAACTTATTTCATTAACCGTTAAAATAATATGTTTAAAGTGGGCATATTTTCAGTATTTACACACTGCGTATCGATTCCCCAATCCTATGACGATGACAAATATATTTTTCAGCATTTTGTTTGCTAATATTTCATTTGAAATATTTACTTTAAATCAAAATCGATTTAAGAACTGTGCTCATAATTGTTGCTGTAAATTATATCAAAATTTAACGATGAAAATATTCGAAACTTTACTCTTCATTTGTCACCTGTACCTAAACAAAACTTCAAAATAATATTTTAAATGTATATATTTGGCATGACACTCTGACATGGCAATTGTCATTGACGGGAATAGCACTGACAAGATGGAGGATATCCGGATAACCCTCAGGTCAATTAATCATACCTCTCTTCAATCAGCTTCACTAGAACTACTATTTTTTTTTCTATTTCAATCTATATATTTACAGTTTGTATCTGTCCCGTCCATCTGCATGTCTAATATAGTCACAGAAAATGTGTTTTAAAGCCCATACTTCCAATAGTGGTTTTGTTTTCGATCAGACTACTAACATCCGATGTTGGTTACCCATAATGCAATATATGGATATATCTCGCGTGATTTTGATTCTAAATTCGGGTAGATATAATAGAACACAGCTTAACAAGTTCAAGTTAATATCAATCCAACCTCATGATAATCAGTATTCGGGTTCTGGAAAGAAAAATATTAATTTTTTTTTCTCCAAAACTCACAGGGTATGCTGAGATTCCGTGGACAACATATCCACACTGTGATGTCATCATATTACTGTATTTGTTATCCAATAAGTTATCATAGTATTTATTATTCAAATTGTTAACCCATGTTAGATTGTATCCACGCAACCATTTAGTAAAAATTTTCACCAAAATACTGAAATACAATTTTGGGAATCGACGAGATCATGTATACATATTTCATAGGTTAATGATACCCCACATATATCCTCTATGTAGCCCATAAGTACCCAATTTATGTCTCAAATGTAACCTAGTTGTATCACATATGCATGTATATCCCATTTGCATCCATTTATGCTCTACATACACGCGCGGATTTAGGAAGGGCGCACCAGGCGACCCCTTCAGCCCGCCAAAAATGACAAACCAATTGACATACCCAGCCCACGTCAATATGAGCGCTCCCCCCTTACCGAAATTCTGGATCCGCCAGTGACATGTAACCTATATCCAGTCACGTTTGTCTTCCATGCACTAGTATTCCCGATGTGTAATATACAGATAATTCACACATTTGTTTTACTGAAATCTCGAGATAATTAGTAAATTTTAAGAAATACAAGTATTTGTATTTTGTTATGATTGCCTTAGTTTAAATTAATAATAAATTGTTTTTTCTTCATAATTTTGAATAAAAATGGTAGTAAATTTTCCTTTATCGGGGAGTCTGAGAATAACTCATATTTTAAGACGTGTTATCCTAATGAGTGTGTGCTCGCCGATGTGTAATAATCGCTTTTTGTGACCGGAAGTCATCATTAAAAGTATGCAAAGTCCAGGATAAATCATAAATAAGTTTAAAACACGACTTCCTGACTGACCAGTTAACGCCGTGACATGGGAAATAAGATGCGAAAAGAACGAATAAAATGATTCAGATTATTTTTAATTTCTCTTCTCAGTCGATTCGTGGACACTGTGATTAATAGTTTGATACACGCTTCATTTGCTTTCTTGTTTTACTGAAGATCGAAAATTAAATCCTGTAAGCGAAAATTGAAAAGAAACTGGCCAATAAATTAGAAGGTAGCGTCATGGCTGGTTAGATACTATCCGTATGAGGTGCATTTCATAATGATATTTATAACGTTGCGAAACGAGAATCGCCCAATGGCCTCTGACGTGGAATCAATCAATGTGCGGCGTATAGTAATCATGTATCAAGTGAAGTATTGGTGATGACCTTTTCAGGTAATTCGGCGAAACTTGTGAAACGTCCGTTCCATTTGACATCAAAGCTGTTCAAATCTGTATGGTACCATATTTATTTGGAATTGCGCAAATTGTTCACCATCTTGGTTGACATTTCGATATATCTATCGCTCAAGAGAATATTAAGAATTTAATTACCCATTCAGTGAAAATACATGTCAATAGAAAGAAGTGAAAGTCGTTGTCGGTCTATTGGCAGGGTGATATAAGCCCGTTCACGATGAGCCCAAAGCACCGTGACACCGCTGCGAATTCACGCACGACACACCGATGTTGCCACGATTATTCGTGACTCGATACTTGCACATGTATAAGATAACGAGTACGTGTAATTGTTGGCTGTTGGTCATAGTTGACACCTAAACTATCGTGAACGAATAGGCATAAAATTAATGAATCTGTGAGGACATTTTTCTTTTTAAAAAAACGTGTATTTATTCTCTTCGTGTTGCTAAATTTTTAATTAATCATCCATTGAATTATTTGTTTCAGAATTTGCGTTGTTCAAAACATCATTAAATGTGTTGAGTCGCAGAAACAAGTCTGGGGTTGCCTGGTAGTCGTATAATACGGAGCATTTTTTTTTTTAAAAACACATTCAACTTTTTCGCCAACTTCTTGTTACAAGTTCTAAAACTATACGTCAACCTCCCGGTTGTAAAACGACTTTGTACATAAATTGTAAAGTTGCTATTCGCACCTGACACTCAGTTTGTCAACTGAACAACAAAGCAGTCATTGTAACGGAACAATAAGGAACACATTGGTTGAGAATTAGGAATAAATTATTGCCTAATTTAACATCATTTATCTGTTGTTAGAGCAGTGTCTTATCTGGTAGCTTGACAGGCCAACCTTCGGGAAACAAGGTGTCGACGCTGTTACGTATTTATTTATGACTTCTCGGCAAACCTTTGTGAACAGCACTGCTTTAAAAGTAAGCCCCACTCACAGCGTAACTAGACCAATGTGCCGTATCTAACAGCGATTAGCAATAAAATCCCCCGCCGATTTGACTTATCGACAAACAACAGTGTTTGCCTCATATGGAAACACTCGAGATTTAAAAAGAATTCGAAATAAAGTTGTTTGTGTCAACAAGGATCGTTTACACATCTGGCGTTTCACCTGCAAGTCTCAATCATCGCGGAATTAGAGAGTTAATCAGGTTCCCCTAACTCGCCAATTATTACTTAATAAAGTATCGCGGTCCGTGTTCAAGTGTGACATGTTTGGCGTCAAGTAGCCAGGACAAACACATTTAAAACGAATCTATTGAGGCGTGGCGCGTTTTTGACTTTAATCGAGAGATTGCTGTTGTTTGAGTGTACTCTGTTGAAACGGGAAACAATGTGCTCATCGATAGGTGTCAAGCGACTAGCCATTTTCATAAAATGTGGTGATTATGCCATCCCTTCTCGGCGGGATACGAAAAGTGCTACCATATGGTACGTTTTAACTCAAAACATGACAGTGAAAAGCACACAGACAACACTATTATGCTTGTAGGGCGATTGATTTCCAATATCTCTTCGTCTTATTAGTAAGTACTTCTAGAGCGCCCTCTTCGACACGAATGGGTACAAATCTTATATAATATATATATTCATATATTATAAATTATTTTAACATATCGCACAGTATATCGCCGAATTTTACACCCTGTGTATATTGCTGATATTGTCAATGTACAGTCACGAGACCCAAAAGAAGAGGATTCTGGTTTGTATGTGTATCACAGAAAGAAATACGGGAATATAAAATACAGCTTCATAAGTATGCATGGCACGGCTCAGGGATGCGCTTCCCAAAGTAGAACCATGCTATCGGGTATGTCGAACTGTCATCACCACCACCATCTTCCACCGCGACATTACATCTATGAGATGTACACGTATATGAGTTAGCCTAACAAGTTG